TAGCATTCTTATATTTAGCTATCGGATCATTCGCTAAATGGCTTCCGTTTTCTCGCGTCTTTCTCATACGTAAAATATGATGCATTAATATATATAAGAATGATGATCACAAGACGGCACTACATATATTATGGGCTCCACTTTTATAGTAAAGTGATACATTTTTTGTTCAATAGAAATTACTGTTACAATAGTAAACCCTTTCATTTGAATATGTACACAGAGATGGAAATGAATAAATAAAAATAGCTCTAATAGCATAAAATGCTTGAGGACATACTGGGACACTAGACGCCTAGAATGACTCTAAGATGATTCTGGAATATCTTGTGTTATTTGGGAGCTAATTAATTTAGAATGGCAAGATACTTTTATGCTATTATCTTTACTAAAAATATTTTTTATACGAAATATATAATTATAATATTTTTAGGAGCATACTTTTATAAATTAATTGATATTTGAGTGATGGCTTGTAATCTCCGTATATAATTAAATGTCTATAATTTCTGGGAAATAATAATTTATATTCCAGCTATATAACATTTCAGCAATATATATAACAACTATATAATATTTTAGTAACACGTTATATTTCTATTATATAACGGCAACTTCGTAGAAGTGCGAAACGGCAACTTCGTGAGTGCGAAATTATAACTAACGTGTACTCGTATGTTACATGTAACAAACATTATATTACATGCACATTACATTCCAACTATATCACAACGATGTAACTGTTATATTATATTGTGTTATATTATTTGCTGTGGTTATAGTATACATACATGATGGTACTATGATGGGCTTGATCTTGTAATAGGTATGCTAAGGTATTTTTAAAATCAGTTTGAATTTTTAAATAAAATCATATTTTTTTAATACAAATCGATTCCTAGAGTTATTTCACGTACAAAAATACTAGAGAAAAATAATCGAAAAATTAATACTTTCCAATGTATTTTATATTTTATTGTATATTTTTCAGTACAAAATATGAAATATCTCGTAAAACATATATTTTTCGATAATCTCACCTTATTACTTTGATACGTAAAATAATAGGTAAAATCGATTGTTGTAGAAAATCGAAAGAAACTTTAAATAAGATTCTGCTACATTTTGCAAATTTATTGATATATTATGATCAAAACCAGTAACGCAGACGCTCCTAAGATTGACTGGTCAATATGTTAAACAACCAAGTGTTTTGGTCAAAGCTCGAGATAGTTTTCCGTTTCTTTTGAATGATGTGTTTTTAATCAATCCTAGGACTAACATGACTGATAAATAAGCTTATAAATTAAAATTATAAATTAAAAATATGTGAGGGACCGCTGACATCCTTCGTTCGTTACAACAGATAAGCGAGAAGCGTTTGTTGTTCGAAGATATGAGGAAGCCGTAGACGGCTCGCCGGTGTCCGAGGTCGGTTGACCGGGAAGAAGGATCATTTGCCAATTAACAGAAAAGAAACAAAATAATTTATTCAATCTCGGTCTTACAATGAGCATGCAGAGCACGGTAACACGTAGCGGTGGAACGCGGTCGATCGCTTGTTCACGAGAGCGCGGTGGAGGCGCAGACTTACTACACTTAAACATAACTAAACGCGGATGCGGATGCGGAAACGAAAGCGGACGCGGACGCTGACTTAATGCTATCGCGGGACGGTATGCGATATGAATGCAGACGCGGAAACTTATAGCTACGTAGCTACGGTAGCGGACGCGGTCGCAGAGACGGACTTACCGCTACGGATGCGGACGCGGAGTCGCGGAGAGCGCGGCGGTTCGCGCAGACAGTGACGGACGCGGACACAATGTTCGCGATACCGGAGCGCACACCGCGGGCGTGTGCCGGAACAGTGTGTCTTGCGGAGACTTAGCTCCCGCTCTCCCGTAGCGGAAGCCGAGTTCTCCTCGCGGAAAGACGGAGTTCTCCTCGTGGGGAAACGGAACACGAGCTGAGGGAGTCAGCAGCGACCGACAGAGACGACGAGCATACCACCCCTATTTCCCTTGCAACTCGTGTTCGTGAGGTCAGAAAAGAGTACCGCGAGCACATGGTGGAGAAGACTAGCACATTCTCTTCAGAGTCGCTGTGGTTTACAAGGAGACGGCGCGATATGAAAATAATCGATTTCAACGAAACTTTTTGTAGCGATATGTCTTCATATTACAAATAATATTAAGTAAAGGAATAAGACGCACTTCTCAAGCGTTTTCGAGAAAATCGAAGTTAAAAATTCCAAGCGTCTTACATACAAGCGTAGCGTTTAATCGAAGAGCGCGTGGCGCAGCGGCAGCGCACCTAATTCGTAGCGACGACGTTGCTGGTTAGAATCCTGTTAAGTAATTTCTTTTTAGAATATATATTTTTTTAAATAGAATGCAATTGTTATACAAAAAAATTTACATTCTACGGATTAATTAATACAGTCTATTTATTTATACTATATATTACAAAGGCATTTTCTTGTTTGTATCCTGTCTACAAAATTCGTTTTCAACATGCCGTACTGTAAAAATAAATAAATATAATTACTGATTTTGTTTCTAAACAATAAGTACGGATAGGTGATTGCCATACACAACACAATAAATGTGAAACATAAATAAATGTGAAACATTTTTTATTCATTGCCATACACAACACAAATAAATATAATTTCTTTTATGAATTTATGAAATCAATTTTTTTATTAATTGGTGGAAGTAGATGAAATAGTACATTATGTAGGATAATATTTATCATAGAAACAAACGAAGCAATAATTCACACGACATCTTGTAAACACATCGTATAAAAGCTGCGTTTTTACAGTTGCATAGTTGTTTTATAGTATCAAGCGGAAAACATACTTCATTGACATTCATAAATACCTCTCTCTCATCTGTCAGTTTTGAGGCGAACTCTCATACGTGTTTTGAGAATAGAACATTTTATAAACATAATTAGAAATAATCGCTCTTTATAAAGGAACGTACGTTATTTTAAACTGCTCCATACAAGCTTTTATTACATTTCATTCCTTTCACTAATAAATAAAAAATGTTTCACATTTATTTGTGTTATATATAACAATCATCTATCCGTACTTATTGTTTAGAAACAAAATCAGTAATTACATTTATTTATTTCTACAGTACAGTATGTCACAAACGAATTTTGTAGACAGGACGCAAACAAAAAAATTTCTTTGTAATATACAATATAAATAAATAGACTGTAATAATAGACTATATAATAAATAAATAGACTATATAATAGACTGTGTTAATTAATCCATATAATATATATTTATTTTGTATAACAATTATATTTTATTAAAAAAAAATGTATTCTGAAAAAAATTACCTAACAAGACTCGAACCACCGTCGTCGCTACGAGTCAGACACGCTGTCGCTGCACCACGCACTCTTCGATCAAACACTGCGCTTAACCTATACAGTCTGTCAAGTAAGAGCGTGTGCGAATTAATTTGTAGAAAAAATTATTTAATACAATTTTCAAATATATGGATACCTTGTACTCAATCCGAACAAAGATGCAATTATATTAATAATGCGTCCAGTCACCATCGACGTCGATAATTGCCTGGCATGCTTTCGACCAAGTTGACGGCGTATTCATGCGGTAAGAATCTCCAAATGCGACAAATTTCTCGAGTTAACTGCTTCAAGTGAATACTTTTCTTCCACGAAACTTGTGCTTGACGTATTCTCATACATACATTCTCGATTGGGTTTGCGTCGGGCGACTACGATGGTCGATCAAGTGTAAAGACTGCTCCTTCCACTCGGTGCAGAGCTTGCTGCGGTGTTTGGGGTCGTTGTCCTCCTGCAGAATCCAGTTCTCGTTGTTTTTGATGAATCAATGTTCGGCAATCAATAATAAAGATTTTTTGTAACCTAATTTTTACTGGATGTTTAATGGTCCGCTGTACTAACCTGTTGGTGGAAGTTGACCAAGCTCGTGGAACGATAACATATCCCCAAACAAAAACTTCGTCGGTAAAAATTACATTGCTCCAATCTCGATCAATATTGTCCTTCACCTAAAAAGTCGCTTCGCAACGTACTTTTCACCTAACAATGGTTTTTTCACTGCGCCATTTGCTATCATGAGCACAGAGATGAATTCGGGTAGTTTCGTGTGTTATATCTAAACCATTCTGTTTCAATTTTGCAGCTCCTTGACGCAGTGTTAAGCCAAGATTCCAAAAAAACAAGTTCACTATCATTTTATTGGTTTTAGGAGACACTTTGCCTATCGAGCCATGTTCAGGCAAGTCATTGTCTCTTTATATCGTTGAACCCACTTACTTACAAACCCACTTACTTACTTGATTTCGACTTCACCATGTATTTAGTAGCCGCTGTATGAGAGATTTTCGGACCTTTCGGGTAGGAATAAAGGAACATAGCTTTGTAGCGCGATGCGTACGTGGCACTCATAGCGTTTTACATGTTTATCTGACAAAACTTTAACTGAATCTTTTTTGACAATGCATGAAGAGCAAAAGTTTCCCTCTATCCACTCACGAAAAAATTAGGATAATACTTTTTACCGACTGCTAATTATGCCGCACACGCTCTTACTTGACAGACTGTATGTAAGGCGCTCGGAATTTTTTAACTTCGATTTTTTCGAAAACGCTTGAGAAGTGTGTCTTATTCCTTTACTTAATATTACTTAATATGAAGACCTATCGCTACAACAAGTTTGGTTGAACGATTATTCTCGTACCGCGCTCTCTCTTTGTTAGACAGGCCGTGGCGACAGGATTACTCTCGAATGACTCAAGCTCCCGCTTTATATATCCGCACAGACCATTGTCGCATTGCTCCCACCCAGGGCGTTGCGACGCCGGATCACGTGCGGGCGATGTGTTAGGCCACATGGGCTTTAAGGAGGGAAAGCACTATAGAACGCCAAAAATAAGAGAATTTTCGTGAATTTTTTTTTAAGAATTTACTTATCCAATCGCTTGCCAACTTTGTAGTGTTTTTGCTTGTACATTATTAAAAAATATTAAAATATTAAAAAAATATTTTTAAGTTAAGAAAAATGTTTATAAATTGTATGTAGTCAAAGAAATGTTGAGCATCGCGGCAGAGTCGGTGCAAAACGGTGTACGCTCTGGATCCTATTGTATTCGTCTGAAACAAAAATAGGAAAAAATGTTTTACTCTTTATAGACATAATTTGTCGATAAATCTAAAAGAATTGAAAAAAATTTTGTAATTGACAAAAAAGCAGCCCTTGAAACAAAAATTCGATTTTTACTCATAAAAATCCATCTTTATGTATACAAAAACATTGTTTAAATAAGTGATTTATGGATTTTATAGGTTTATCGACTAGTAAATATAATAAACTAAATGTACGTAAAAGGGTAACTCGATTGGTCAAATAGCTTTTGAATTATCATGCACACCAGTTTGAAAAAAGTCGTTTAAAAAAAAGCGCGTTTCAGATATAGAAAATTGTAAACTTAGCTTCTACTAATCCGTTATTCCTGTCTCATATAGTAAATCTTCCGCTTCTTCAAACAAGTCATTTTGTTCGAATTGGTGTTGTTTACTTGCCTCTTTACTATAACTTAGGCTAAAAGCTCCTGTCTCTTTATTCGCGTCCTTACTTTCAGCATGTAACTTACATAGAGACCCAATTTTAATTTCTAATATTTACATTATCTTCAAAACAACAAAGTAATCTTCATTAAATATTCCAGCGGCAATATAGGCGGTGATTTCGATATTAAGGCGATAATTTTTAAGGCCAGAATATACATGCTTTGGAGCTAACCGCTAAATCGTACTATTAAAACTTTAATTCGCACTTTTTGTGTGTCCACCTAAGCACCTTTTTAATATATCTTTCTTAAAAAAATTTTTTCCGTTTTTTCAAACGGCTTTTTCGGAACAAAGCCGTTGCGAATTACTGTGTGCTGAAACCTCCCCTCACGCGATCGTATCTGCGTGCGAGAAATGATTCTGTATGATTCTTTAGATTTTTAATTTTAAAACCAAACTTTGGGAATATATTCTATATATACAGGGTGTCCCAAAACTGGTAGAACACCCGTTAGGGATAGGTAGGGGATGCAATTTGGAATTGAAAGTTCCTCTTGCATTTTTGGATCCGACAATTAGTTAACGAAATATTAATGAATTAAGTCTGCCAATCTCTTACCGTCCCGAGTGAACGCTCAGAAACGTAGAACGCTATGGACTTCTCAGGGCCCCTTCTTGTCCGTTTGTCTCCCCTTTTTGTATCACAAGAGAATAAATGTGGATGAGTGAGTGAGTGCTTGACCGGGACTAGGAGGAGAGGGGGGTGGCAAGTTTTCTATATGTGGGAGTAATGTGCGGGTGTTTTTGTGTGTGTTTATGAGTGCATGGATAATTTGAATGTTTTTAGTGAAAATGGGCGGAATGATTGCGCTTTATATGCCGGAGGGAGAGGACATATATGATATGCTTCCTTCGAATGCGTGGGTGACTTGAATGTTTTCTATACGTCGGTAGTTGAGTACCGTGAATAATTTTAGTGTGTGTGTATGGGGGG